GCTGGTTTTGTTATTTAGACTATCTTTTTTCTCTTTTCAATAAGGGCAAGATTCTGCCTGGAAATCTGTGATTCATCTGATGGTAAGGAAACTGCTGCAAATGCTGCCTGTGGGCAAAAAAAAGCCTTTCTCTTGTCTTTGTGATCTGATATTGCCGGTAAGATAACGACCTGTTGTCAACAGCAAATCTCATCCTATAGAGACATTAATACATGAATACATTTATCACCCTTGTGATGGGTGTTAATCTCAAGAGTGGAAGCAGGTCCTTTGATTTGCCCAGTGCTGTGCCACTGCTTGCTAGGAGTGAGATGCTGGGAGTTGATAGCATGTGATTTTGAGCTGCTAGCTTGATCACCAACACATGCTTTGGGATTAATTCTCCCTGATTAGTGCACGTGTCGCTCAGGCAAAGGCCTCTTAGAGAGCTTGATCAGGGCTGTGACTGTGCACCCAATTGTTTCTGCTTCACTTGTCAGTAGGTCTGTGCTGCTGGTTTTACCACGGCCTCTGTGTTGGTACACAAGAGATCTGAGGTTCCCAGTTCCTCTTGGCAGCAGCAGGTCTGTGCTTCTCTCTCACATCTCCTGCCAGCTGGGGAGGTCCCCAGGTGGTAAAAGTAGACTTTCTCCCACAGGGTTTTGCTTGATTGGCAACTCAGTGTAAACAGGAGAAGATGAGTTCAAAGTCTTGTTGGCTAACCTAAAGCCACAGAGCTGATGATAAGGACAGAGAGTGTGTGCTGGCTCGAAGAGCTGTTCCCTCCAAAACATGCTCCAGGCTTATGTAATGCTCGGACGATGTGCTGCTTCCCAGGGACAATTTTAACTTTGGGCAGGCACCTGAGCAAATAACACAGATCCAAGTTTTATGTTAGCTCTTCTGTAACTGTCTGTAACCACTACCTCAGTTTCCAGGCACAGAATGGGAGGTTTTGGGGAGCTAAGTGGAGTAGGGCATCCTAGACCCACTTGTACCACAGATTTGCAGTGCTGTGTTGCTTTCTGTGAAGCCAAGCAAGTGTTGCAAGGCAGAGAGAAGAGTTTGGTCTCTGCTGAGCTTGTTTCCAAGCAGCCACAGTTGGTGAGGAAAGGAACAGTGTGTCAGGTGGAGGAAACAGCAGAGTGTGTGCAGTGAGACTGGCAGAGAGGACAGCTGACTGTGGAGGTGGTGTGTCTTGTGGAAGAAGGCTAATAGTTGGAAATGCAGCTGTCTGATCCAGCAGACAAAAGAAAGGACAGAGTGTGTGGAGATGGCCTGATCAGAAGAGATTCTTCCCTTTTTTCTGACATGGGAATGGTTTGTGCATTCCTGTGTACCTGCCCCACTGCCTTTTGGGACCAAAGAGAATGGAAATTCTGAAGATGGATACAATCCAAACAGCAGCTGCTGTAGACCAAAAAAAACCTGCTGGCAGACCCAGCCCAAGGCCACAGAGGCCATCACCTGATTCCTGTGGGATTCCTGGCTTGCTGAGTTGTAGTCAGGGCAAAAGTGATGTTGACTTGACTCTTTTGAGAGCCAAAATTGACCCATCAGGCACAGAAGAGCTGCATCCAAGTGGCATGAAGCCAGCTGCTGTGCTATTTCTCTCAGCACTATCTAAACACTCTCTTTTTACTGTGTTTTCACCAGATCCATTACTGCAGCAAGGGCTGGCAAAAGGGACTCCTTGATGCTGATGAATGTTTGGTCTTGGCATAGGCTCCTTTAAACCATCTGCTGCCCATCCCAGCACTGAGCCCTGTGTCCTGCCTTGTACCCACTGTGCTCCTTCTGCTCCCCTTTCCAGAGCTCCCACCATGGTCAATGAGACCCAGCACACCTGCAGTGCCAGTTCCAGCTCCAAGTCTGATGGTGGTAGCAGCAGTGGGAGCGAGAGCTCCAAGGACAACTCGCGCTGCTCCACGCCTGTCCTCGATGCCGACCGACACGAGCGGCTGCGGGAGAAGATGCGCCGCCGGCAGGAGGCTGGAGACAAGTGGTTCTCCCTGGAGTTTTTTCCTCCACGCACAGCCAATGCTGCTGTCAATCTCATCTCCAGGTGAGCACTGCAGGGTGGGAGAGAGGAAGTGTCTGTGGTGGAGGGCTGGGAAATAGCTAATGAGGCAGGCTCTGCCCCATGCTCTGTCTCCCCTTCCAGGTGACGAAGCAGGTAATGGGGCTGTGCTTTCCTGCAAGGTAACTTGTCTTCCTTGGAGTCCCTGAAGAGTTAAGTGCCATGGTGGGATTACTAAGAGGCCAGACTCTTT